TTGTATGACGTAGCAGTAATCGGCAGCGTTAATAATCAGAGCAGATGACGTGAATGGTGTAAAAAAATAGTTTCTTTATTACCACAAGCAGTTGATGACATAGATAAAGACAGAGGAATGATAAGAATTGGTATTCTAAGAAACGTTAAAACACAAACAAACTATTTTTCTACGTTGTACAGTAGTTATAACGTAAATGGGCGAACCGTTAAATGCCGTTTTGTTTTTTTTTTCCTACAAATTTTGTGAAAGTTGAAAAATGTTTCATCTTATGTTCAAAATTTGTAGATAAGTACTATAAAAAAAAATGGTATACTTTGATTAAATGAAGAGGCGAACGTTAATCTTGCTCAAATTGCCATTTAAATTTAATTTTAACGCATTTGACATTTTCATAAAGGAGAAAAGAAAATTTATAAATACAATATAATGTATACGTAATTTTTGTTCACTCTGAAGACGTTGGTATAAACAATTAAGATAATAATGTGCTATTAATTTAGGTTTTAGAGACTTATCTATAAAAATATATACGTACCTAAATTGCCTTATTTAATCATAAAAAAATAAATATGTGCTCACAATATTTGTGTAAGTACTAGCTGTGCCCGCAACTTCGTCCGCGTGGAAATTAAAATAAAAAAAATCTAAAATAAAAGTAGCCTAAGTTACACCTTATTACATCAGCTATCTGTCAGTGAAAGTCCCGTCCAAATCGGTCCAGCCGTTTCAGAGATTAGCCCGAACAAACAGATAGGCAGACAGAATTTTTTTTAAAAAAATGTTATTGTTGTATATGTACCGCGTATACATCCAAATGTATTTAGTAAAAAGCGGTTATTTTAATATTACAAACAGAAACTCAGATTTTATTTATCTGTATGTATAGATGTATCTAATATGAAACGGAATTAATGAGAAAGCAGATTCCATTGAAAATAAAATATGACTGGCAATGCAGTCATGTATTTTATAGTATAAACTACTGTATAATATACTTTGTTTATAATTACACAATAATTTTTCCTATTACGGACATGACTACACTAAACACTCGACTATGGGACGAGTGCGAATATATTTGTACAAAAAACTGAGTAACATTGTGAAGCGGCGAAAGTCTACAAGTTGCCTTGCCCATAACCTCGTTACTAACATTTCATTTTCCCGCTTTAAGTCCTTAAATAGTCAACTTCTTTTGACACACTTAAACAAGGAAGTGGGTGTCCAAATTAAATATTTGCCTTTTAAATATAAATCAATGGATGCTCGACCTACAAAGCGACACGACAGCTTAAATGGAAATGCAGGTAAAATACAAGATTACATCGATAGTCCATTATCATTAGTGATAGCCGGTCATTGACCGAGTATGGAGCGGTCATCGATGGAGCATCAGCGTTTTTAGTTCAACTAATGATATTTTTGAAACTAATTAAACTAGTATGTTTCTTGTTAAGAAAATTGTATGAATTTATTACAATGATACAAGCTTAATATTAGGGTAATTTTTATCCTTTCATACGCATATTATGTAAATTTTAAAAATTCATTAATCTTTAGTAACCCAAAATAACCTCATATAAGCCAAGTGATAATTCATAAAAATATTTTGTTGCCTTTTTTTCATTCGTAATAATGGAATTTAAAACTTACTCGTCTGGAAATATTAGGGGAAATATCATACAATTTTATGAAATACAAGTATATTTTTTATTCGCACAGTATATATCTATTTGAGAATAATAATCACGAAAATTAGGCTCTTGCGCTACAGTTCTTATCTCGAAAGACGGACAGACGTTGAAGAAACTAATTATTTCGTTTTAACCTTGCGTTTTACCGTGGCTTGCTCCAACAGATTCCTAAACGCCACCAATAATTATGTTTAAATGAAATGACTAGGGATTCTGGAATTTGGATCTTGACTAACTACATAATTTAGAAGCTACATTTTACAATTCTCACTTTCTAACATATGTGTTAAGTGCATACACCATGCCAAAAGTTCCAGTTCGTCAGTCAAAAATGTTTACCACAAATTATACCGGCTACAGGAATGTTGCTTTTAAGAGAAATGAGTGGGACTGCAACAAACCAGTTGTTGAAAGGTTGAAATAATGTAAACAAATGAATTGTGAGCCACGAATGTGTGACAGTTTGTATGAATTTCAATGGAAGAACAATGTCATTCAAGGATAAGACAAGTGCCTTTACAGTTACAAATCTTCCTCTTTACACATTCCCGTTGAGAAAGTTAAATGTTCTGTGTCTTAACCAACTTATTATTTGGCGTGTTGATATTTTTACTGTTTCCGATCCAAAATCTATCAAATCCTAAACAATTATTTAAAATAATATAAATTAAAAAAAAAATATCTAAGGAGATATTAATTTTCAATTTTATACAATGCCACTTATAAATTTTAACATTTAGACGCCTTGAACACATTTTCAAAATGTTCTTTTGACTACTGAAACGTATTACTACTATTACTATGTTGCAGTGTTCGGTTCTTTGCATCTACAACACAAATAATCTAATGCGAGTGTTTATTTTATACTGTAACGTACACACAAAGATAAAAATTCAACAACGGCTCTTCAAAGAGTTTTATTTACCTTGGCGACACGAGATTACGTCGTATTTTAAAAATTAGTCTGTGTCTATTAAGGTGTTTGAGTAATGCGTATTTTTTGTAAGAAAGATTTGGAATGTACTTACATGAGGACTAACCCTTATATGTGTTTCCAGCAAGTATTTCGATCACAAGCAACGATGGAAAGGAAATCTAGAACAATTTTCGACACAAGATTTTTTGATCATCTGAAATCAAAGAAATTTAGATCACTGAATTAAGCTAAATTTCTTTGATTTTAAATTTTGTTACATTCTGCGTTGGTATTAACTTTATACCGTGAATTTATACCTCGTTATGTTTAGTAAAGGGTATTTTATTCATTGTGATAAATTTAGATTGTATTCAATCAAACATTAGAATGAAAGTTTTCTTCCTTTCGGAACGTGTTTCACAGTAAGTACAGATTAAATAATAGACTTGGTTAAACAAATGATAGTTATCAAAGTGTTTTTATGATATCACTTGACAAACACAGTTTTATACAAGGTTAAAGAATTATATTTATAAAACCGGGAAAATAGGTTCAAACAATGTGGCTGTTAATTTTTGGATATTACAGATACAATATAGTCACGGTTTATACCTATATAGTGTTTTATAACTGATATGTTTCTTATTTGTTTACATTTTCTGCTGGTCAAAAGAAATAGTTTCGAAGAGTCGGAATGTAAAACATAAAAACATCTGGAATACTATAACTGTACTCTTGTTGCACTATCACTTTCACATTCTCCAAGCTAAGTATCAAAATTATAACAAATTTATGTCTCCAGCGCTTCCAGCGCATGCATTTTTGTTTCTTTTAATGTTAATTGAAATGACATGGCTGGTGTCACAGCCGGTCGTCTCCGCTTTTTATTTTTAATCAAACTTTTTATTTGTATCCCATCGCGTTCGGCCGTCGGATTCTATACGGAGCTTTCCTCTTTATACGTTATCTAATCGATGAGGGGTACGCTTACATGGCGTTAAACTTAAATTTATTACTTCTTAATACTCGCTAAGGCTCGTTTGATCCACAACTCCAAAATCGTGCAGACTTGAATAATTATCAAAAGTAAAGATAGAGAGTACATGATTATGTTATTTACAAACATTAATATAATATTTGTAAATAACATATGTATTGTTATATGACACTGTTTTACCTCCTTAAATTTTGTTCTCGGCGTTTCGAACACTTTAACTGGTCATGTTTTGAACAAAATTTAAACGCCAAAAACGGAAAGTAAGGGAGGATATTCGATTTTGAATGTTTGATTTAAAACTATAGGTAGATAGATTTGATTAGATTAACTGAAATACTTCAAATTAACGTTGAATTTATCGCATTCTTCAGAAAGAGATCATTAATATAATTTATGTTTTTATGTGAACTGCGTTGTAGAATAATCATAATTTTAGGATAACCATCCTATTCTATGGATATGTACATTTAATGATACGAGGATTCATTGCAGCGTTTTAGTAATTTGTCAAGTTTGAAAACTTAACATTTAAAAATTTGGTATGGAATGTCTAATTCGTAACAAGTTTTCATCTTTACTCCTTCGAGAAGCTAAAGTCCTCGGACAATAGAACGGCGTTCGCCATGTATTTATCATTGTAAATAAAGCAAAGATTTATGACTGATTGTTAGTGTTCTAAACTATCGTCTAGATTTTCTAAATTGTAGTCAATTTGTTGCAAATGTCAATAAATTTATGGAAGTAAAATAGCTTTATGTATGCGGGTAAATTCGAAATCGTCATTGCATCATAACATTTACAAAAGTTTTCTTTTTCATCACAAACATTAAAACTATCAAGTTAAGAATGTGACTTAATTTTTAGTAGAAAAAATTCATAAGCGAATAAATTTTGGTTAAATTGTTAAAAAGATTGAAACGCATTATTTTTGAAAGTTATTTAAAATTCATGAAATACGTGATAAATACCTATGATATAATACTTAATATTCAGTTTTAATAATACTAAGCATTAATTTTGTTAGCAGAATAAAGAGTTAATATTTCTTTCTTTGACCAATGAATCGATTCTTGTTTTTTAATAATAAATAATTAATATCTTTTCTGTAGTAACTTTGGATAGATTTAAGTTAAAGAAAGGTATGTTTTTAAATAGCGTGCCCAATACTTGTAGATGTCTACAAGTATTCAGTGTGCTAGGAGAAAAGAAAAGGCCTTTTAAGAACTGCATTATATGAAATTTATTACAGTTCCTAAATTTGCAACGATAAGGTATTAATTCGATATATTCCCTAAATTGTGCTTGCATCAGGTGAAACACCTCCTCACTTTCCTACATTATTTTTAAATAAAGTCATGGTTTTACTCCAATGGTATCCCTTTTGTTGCAGCGAATCTCACCATCAGCACTCGCGGCGTGAATCTAGAACTGCTCATCTACTCACCCGTACAAGACATGTATCTCTGCTTCAACCGATCCAGACTGGTCGGCCGACGTCTGGTAAGATCTATAACTTGAAACCATTCCTAAATATAAAAGAATAAATTAGCTAATTTCTTAGATATTTTTCTGTCCATAATCACTCGAACACTGCGTACTATAATTACGCAGTGTTCGAGCAGATTTTTGATCCATTGTCTCTTACATAAAGACTTTACAATAATCAGTCGTTTAGAGGTTACAAGGTTACTCACAGCAATACAAACGATTCTATGCATAGTGTTTCGAGATCATAATCGCATAATCCTTTATCGTAAGATCTTAATCGCATACTGCTTCATCAAATATCAAATAGTGAATGAACCCTTTGCACCAACAGTCTCGGTTCCAAGCGGAGAGGCAGCAGAACTGCCTGTTCAAAGAGGAGTTTGTGGACGGCTACAGCACGTTCCACCTGGTGAGGAACGACGACCGCTACATCGGGTTCAACAGGCGCGGCGCGCAGCTGCGCCGGCTGAAGAGCCGCCTCTCAAAGCGCGCCCACAACTGCTTCGCGTTCATGAAGGAGAACCAGGACTTCGACATAAACAGGCACAACACTATGGTCGCCGCCGACGTGCCGAGGCGCCCGCAGCGTAGGCTCCGGCCGCCGGCGCAGAACTCCATAAAGCCGCCGTGCCACGGCGTCCGCCACCACCACGGCAGGCACCAGAGGCGGAGGAACTGCGAAGGCACGTAAGCGCCCCACCCGCCAGCAGCTGCCGCGCTTAGACGCTTCGCGCTCCGTCGTCGGCCGTCGACGGGCCCAAGGGCCCAGTATTAGTCAACTACCGCAGTATTATTCCAGTGCGAGGGGCAAGGTGAGGTGGTCGCACGGATGGTAGCCGAGGCGGGCGAGAGCAAACACCCGGACGGGGACACGCCCCGGCCGCGCCGGACGTAGATGTGAAATTCCCCAAGGGCGTGCAACATCGCGGCGCTCGTTTGCTCTCGCGGCCGCGCATCGACTCGTGCTCCAAAAGGAAAAAAGGTCTCCTGGGGAAAGAGCAAACAGTTGTATCGCTAGTCACGAGTCTTCCGACAGACCACCGCTGAATTCTGACGCTCAAACTCGATGGGCGGGGAAGCCTTTGAATTCTCCGCTGCGTGTCAATGTAAAAGTACGCGAACGTTCGGACGTTTAATGGACTTTCCAAACCTCTGCTGCTCCGGCTGGCTCGCCATTAATGTAGTTAAAGCGCCTTTACGTCAATTCTCAGTGTATTATTATTTAAATGCTTTAATGTTAAGTTCGGATCGCGTTGTCTGCTTGTAAATATAATAAAACATAATAATTGTGTTTACTTATTTATCGAAAAAGCAAAATAATAAGAAATTTGTAAACGTAGATGTTAGTTGTATAGTTGTATCAAATTGATTTGTATTTAATTATGGGTATTTAATCTATCCGACCAACCGCTCTCTTGTGATTAGCCACGGATAATGTAACTATTGTAACTTCACTTCTGTATACTTCATCTGCCAAACGTTCTCCAATATTTACTAACGTCGCTATACGGCTTATGAATTTCATGTATGATTTGAGCTTTTTGTAAATATTATTTTAAGTGTTTGTTTGTGAGTGATAGGTTCTTGAATCTCTTTACATTGTAATACGAAATTGACAGTTTTGGATGATAAATGTCTGAGATTTTCATTTCATAAATTCGTTAAACCATCTTTAAAATCATCGTCTATAAAATAACAGTTTAATTGTGAGAGATGTTGCGTAATTCCGATTATTGATCGTTTAATTTGCCAGTCGAACTATGTAACTTTTATTTATTAGTGGACATTGTAATCTTATATATCTATATTTAAGATCTGTGCCATATTGTGGTGGCAGTGTACGACTTTGTGCTCGCGGCGTAATTAGTGTATTAAGTTAAAGTCTGTTAACTGCGAATAGATAAAGGAAAAATGTTTAACTTAAGACAAATAACTGAATGTAAAACATTAATGTATCCTATGCCCAGTGTTATTTGTGTAAGCGTGGCTTAAAACCTCGCATATGCGGGGTGACGTTGTTGTTAACTTCAATTTACTTTTTGTATTACGTTCAGTGTAACTAATTGTTTCTACCGTCATCAAAAATGATGACGTCCCACATTCCGTTAATTGTTAATTCCATCGATGTATTCCGCAATCGAAAATATTTCTGATAATAAACATACATTCCAAAACGTTGTATACATACTTTGTAGTCACCTAAAACTGCATTTAAAATATGCGGACATTTTAATGTTTGTCACGCCGCATTGTATATTGTATCCACAGCATGTGTAATGGTAATATATTCGGACGCTCGAAACGAAATCGTATAATTGCTAAGAGGAATTACGAAATTAAAGCATATTTAACTCGCAACACTGTGTCGTTTATTTTACCTTTGAACGATAGTGCGGACGAGGTCGAGACGTGGATGAGACGTTGAGGACGTCCATAGTGCGATGTCGGTACACGAATGTCGATGTCACCTGATATTGACCTCGGTAAATATTAGGTGACATCGTTGAAATGAATAGGCATTAAGGACTCGACCTTAGTGCCTATTCTCATCAACGCACATGCGAATATGCGAGGGTGCGCTCAAGCTAGGTTGCTAGCTACGAGTGCACAATACGAATAAATCGAATTTTAAGACGGTAGCCGTGACCAGTCATTTCGATGTATTTTTCCACTCATTGGCATTCACAATTATATTTGCACATTTGACCGAGTCCTTGGTTATTTTTATAGTAATTTAGTAGTGTATGTAATTATTTGGATTTGACGAATTTATTTAGACATGTCATTTATTTATATGAGTAATGAATACGAAACTAGACAGCTGGTCCCGGTTTCGTACTGTGACTAGTTTAGATTTGAGATATTAAAATTAACTTAAAAAAGACAATAGAAAAAAAAAGCCCACAAAAATATAAATAAAATAAATTTTACATATTATTATTATCTATACTTCAAGGTACTCTTTATAACAAAACACGCAATTTAAACAATTTAAACAAATATAAAACATCGAAAGAAAACATATACTTGAGTCATATAACTACGACACTGTGTCATCGTCATTCTTTACAAATGGAAATATAAAATACGAAACATCTTCATTTCTCAATTTTGTACGTGTCTATTTATATATTATGAGTTCTCGACAGTAAAAATTCACTCCTTTCTACGAGTAATTCCCAATCCTGTCCGCATACTGATGTTAGTTCGAACTCGGGCTGCCTTAACGCTAAAATCCGTTCGACCGCACTTATTGTGTGTTACCGATAATAAACGAGGGACTCAACCCCATAAGTAGCCCGGTGGTTCACAAAAAGGCGATAGTTCCAATAAACGGGCCGGAAGAGGTGCGTTTGCGGGTGAAATTTAAGTTCAAAAACAAACAGGACAAAGTGGGGCTAACTGGGCACCGCCGCCTCCATGATGCGCGTGCGCACCCAGATTAACACCTCACTACACCGAATGCTGTGAGAGTAAGTTGGAACAGAGGTGAGTATGAGGTTTTAACACGTAACTAACATTTTTCAGGTACATAAAATGGTAATGTATTAAATATTTTTTCACTTGTCAGTGTTGGATTACCGTCTCACCTGATGTTAGTAGAGATATAATCTCAGACGATAACTTGCAGAGAAGCAGACGTCGCCATCGTAGGGTCGCCATGCATCAGACGGACCTCTTTTGCTAAAGCTGTCAAAGCCGTTACGGTAACAGTAAACTTCACTCACACGAAAAAAACGATTATAAACGCGCTAGCTCAGTTACGGCCTCTTCATTCTTACCTTGAATACACTCACATGAATAAAGTTAAAAAATAAAGTAAAGTAATTGCGATTATATGTCCCACTGCTGAGCAAAGGCCTCTTCTGTGCACAGGGTATTAGATTATAGTCAACCATGCTGCCCCACTGCGGATTGGCGGACTTCATATATATCCGAAATATTTGCCTTGTTATTATTTCTTCACCGCATGTGAGAAGTCCGCACTTAAAATTAAAAATTTCATTGCTTGGAATTTCAATGTAATTTAATATTAATGTGATGTGAGTGATAAATGTTTGTTCTAGATTGTTATACAATATAATTGCGCTGATAATTAATAAGAGATTTAAAAAATAATGAATTTTACACTAAACGAGGGGTCATTGCTCTTATAACTACAAAGCAATTACTTAATAAATGTGTATATAATTATTTTAGTAATTTCAACATTTCTAATCAAATAAATATATGGTTCATAATAGAAAGATATAAATTTAAGAGTCTAATTTGGCCAAAGATAAAATGTGTGTCAAATTATATCAATGTTGGTAGTCTCATTAAGATTAATAAACTCGGATAGTTAACGGTGATGAAGACAGATGAAAACTATGCCCTATTTTTGACTTTATACTGTTGTAAAAAGGAAGGAACATTTTTATATATTTATTGGGACCAATGATTCATTTTCATTAATGATTTATTTTCATTTTATTGTATGAAATTCATACACGGTTTTGACATTATATTATTGTCTAAAAAGTACAAATGACTATGAAATTGCCGGTTATACCGTCAGAAACGATAAGATGCGTGAACGTCAATGAATAGCGTGGCACGAATTCTTTGTCTGTCCTCAATTACGTAAAAAGGTGTTTATCGTTTTTCACTGCTATTGATACTTGTCACGCGCCTGTCTGGAATTCAGTTCTTTACGTCAATCATAAACGTGTTAATCACAAAAAGATTCAGAAAGATTCGAAAGAGTCTTATGAATAATAGTGTTATACCATATGAGTTCTCGAAGTTTTATACCATAGCTCGAACCGATGGCCGTTGGGGCAAAAAGGTTCTCGAGTGGAGACCACGTGACGGCAAGCGCAGCGTAGGAAGGCCTCCCACAAGGTGGACGGACGACCTAGCTAAGATCGCACGGACGCGTTGGATGCAGGCCGCTAACAACCGGTCGAAGTGGAAGTCAATGGGGGAGGCCTATGTTCAGCAGTGGACGTCCTACGGCTGATATAATGATGATGATGATATGAGTTCTGTATAGCCCCTTCTTATTTATCCAATCTAGACTTTGTCTTGGAATGTGATCCCCTGCGGAAAGTATAGCCAATCCAGCTCTACTTGTGACGCCGAATCTGCAGGTCTGCTGGATCTTCACGGCACTGTCGCACTGTTTGATAAATGCTTGGTACTGTTTCATGACCAGCTTTGTAACTTTAAATTTCTTACATCCATACAGCATATTTGGACGGTGATTAATTTCATTTTACTTTATTAGATAGTTGTATGGACTGCCATAACGGACAGAGACAAACAAAGGTGATTTTTGCTTTGGCAATGTAACGTCTGAATTTATCCCTCCGGATTACGACACGATACTACTAAGATAGGTGAAGCTTAAGCACCTACTTCACTATTTAATCGTCTTTCCATTCTACTTTCAAGTTTTAAGCATAATCACTAACTTTTATTGTTGGCTAGACAAGTTTGAAGAATGTTGTGTTCTTCTATATTGCATGAGCACTTTTTCTAGATTGTGTTAGTTTTAGCTCTAAAAATATTCGTGTGGATCCTTAATAGTAACTTAAAAAAACAAACGAAGTGAATACTTAAAGTAAGGTTACCAAGAGGTTACCAAAACTTGTCACATCTTTCTTATTTCTCCCGTTGATTTTAAGGAATACCTAAGCTGCCTCTCTTCTGCAAGTCATCTAGCTTATTTTACATGTTGGGGGGGGGGGGGGGAGTCCATGGGGCCATGACCCCCCCCCCTGGGCTGGGTCCAGGACCTAGGGGGACCACTACTTAAAATAGTTAAACATAATGTTTTTATATATTTTTTGCCACAATATACATTATATATAACTACATTCAATATTTAAATAATTAATATTAAATTAGTATAATATTTTTCACCGACTTCAAAAGGAGGAGTTTCTCAATTCAAGAAACTTCGAAATGAAACGACAGAGCCTCATCGGGTTTTGGTACATTTGAATCGTTTTGACGAGTAGTTTGTCTTTCATTAGTAACCAGGATCTGATCTTCAGCCA